ACCGTTAAATATGGCGGACGTGTCTACGCGCTTGGAGCTGTCGAATGAGGAATCTACCTATACATATCTATGTTTTGAGCAACCACCAACAACACTTAAGAAGTATGGCAGTTAGTTTTGCACTTAAAACATCAAGTAAAGAAGCAGTTCCATGGTATTGACCATTTAAAAGTGTTTAAAAACAATTTCTGTACAAATTGTATCCAAGGAAGTATTTGTTTATATGATACTGCACACTGCTATGGAATGCAGGAATAAATAGACCGTTATAATGAGTAGAAGCTCAAGGAAGCCTTGGTAAATGTAATTTAATTTGCACTAAATCAAATTTTATGACATGATTCTTTAAGTTAATGTATCCTGTTTCTGTTTTGCTGTGTCTCTCTTAGGATAATGTGGATCTGGGAGATCTGATGTTTTCTCTTTGTTACTTGCCAACTGCCGGCCGACTGACAATAACGATAATTAAAGCCAGAAATCTTAAAGCCATGGACATCACAGGAGCGTCTGGTAGGCTTCCCATCGCCCTCACCTCTAAATGACTTATTGTCTCCGCAGTAATGATTTTTTGGTGTCATCATGACATGTTAAAACGTAGGGTGCCATGGCATCTCTAAAAGAGCATTGATTTAATCGACCAAACACTTGAGAATGTGGCAGGAGATTTTACATATACAAGTAGTTGCTAAGTGGGGTTGGGCAAAATCCAGAATTTATTTTGCAGTTCTTCTAACCAAACACATCACACAGGATGTTGCATTGGAGTAAAATCAGATCAGGTTGACAAGAAGCGCTATTAACAGCATTTACAGAAGTGCTTTTCCACCCTGGTGGTTTAATTTTTTTTATTATTATATATTAATTATATATAATATTATTATTATAATTATGTAAATTACAAATAAATTATATAATAATTTATAAATGTATAAATAAAACAAAATTATTTAATTGCTATTTTTTTGTATCTATTTTTACAATATCTAAATATTTTTATTTATTTTTTAATTTTATAGTGAACCATTATATAAAATATTTAATAAAAATCATTAATAATGCTTATTTATTTATTTTGCCAGGGTGGAAGAGCACTTCTGCAAATATTATATATAAAAAAAAATATATATATATATACAGTGGGGCAAAAAAGTATT